TTGCTCCTTTTGTTATTTTCTTCTCTGAGCATAGTCCCAAAGCCAAGGATCCTTTGTACTCTTTGTTATAAGCCATAAAGTTGTCTTTCTCACTGCCTGCTTGTTTCTAAAGACCAATCTTCAGAATACATTCCAGCCAGTAAACATATTTTTACACAATGCCATGCTACATTTACTATGGATATGAAAGCTTACTCAAGATACATGCTCAGATGACCAATGAACTGCTCCCAATAGTACTTTGCAATTCCTCTACTCCCTAGCCTGGTTTTGTGGTGGTTTCCTGACCATCATTTCCAGATTTTCGGTTTGTAAGCAGAGTCACGGTAGGAGAAACTTAATTCCTCCCCTAAAACTTTTGCTCTTATAACCAACTACATACCCAAGCATAGAGGGTAAAAAAGAACAGGCTACAGAAACAGCTAATGTCTCTTACTTGCCACCTTTATCTACATCTGGGCTAGAAGGGAGAGTTCACCATTAGTTAATTATCCTGTCTGATTTCAAACAATATGTGATTCCAAGTCTAAGGAATATCTGAAACAAATAATGATTTCATATTGTGGCTAAGATCCTCTATCTTGCCACAATCTCAAGTCATGGTGCATGTTTATACAAACTGCTCAGCTAAGGAAAATATAGTTTGGTATAATAAGCAAATGTACCCAACACAGCTGGGGTCACTTATTGCATATGTGGTTGTGTAAAAACCACACACAAGTAGTCTGAAAACCATAGTTTATGGCTTTGCATGATGTGTGAAACTGGCTGACTGCATATTTAGCAAACCATGGCTAAAGAAATCACAGCTTAGCATGATGTATAAACCAAGCTGGCACCGAGCATTGTTATCACATGATTTCTATAACCATATTGCAACTCCGAATTTTGGTATTACAGTTCTGAATAGTGGCAATAGCAATAGGTGACCTCAGATACCTGAAAGACTTAAGTAAACAAGAACAGACTTATCATGTCTTTCAGTACTCCAGCAACTATTTCCTGGAAAGCCAGCACAACTGGAGGCCCAAAGTTACACACATATAAAGCAATTGCAGGTAGCAGTTCAAAGAATCAATGAGAAAATACGTCTGAGCTCACTTGACAAAACAAGTTTCAAACTGTGCAAACTATCACCCCAAAGTCCAGCATAGATTTCAGATGTAATCATGGATGCTGATAAAGCCACCTGCTTTTGAAGCATACAAAGGATCATCTGTGAATAAGTCCATACAGGGAAAAAATTAAAAGTAACTATTGGCTATGGAAGATGGCTGTGTCTTCTTTTGACAAGGCACAAGTTGCACAGATGGACTGAACACCACTCATGTAGATTTACAGCAAAAAAATCCTTAGCTTGATTGGGCATCAGTTACTACAGGAGAAATAATGCTCTGGCGTATCAATAGAGTAAGCCAAATTTATATACAACTTTAACTATTGCACTTTCCCCAAAAGTTAAATTGACCATACGGTGAAAAAATAGAAAAATCCCCCCCTCCAAAGAGGGGGGTGGAAGTCATGTAAAACCTCATACACAGGGGTATGACACAATGTACCATCCGTATATCTGTCTGAGAGCTCAAGGAAAACTGGATTGTACTCTATACACCATTCTGATAGTTTCCTCCAAAGAAACATGAAAACTGTAGCTTAAAAAGGATGTTGAGAATTCTGTTATAGATGTGTCACAGCCTTACTCCTACACAAACCAGCATCCCTGGATTCCATGCAGAGAGCAAATGATCCACTTTCTACTTCCACAACTTGGGTGGGAAGACATGGGACAATAAGAGTACTGTATTATCTATCCACATGGGACCTGGATAGTGCCAACTGAATCTAGTAGCTCAACCATCCATCAGCCTACAGACCAAGAAGAAAGCTCTGTAGAGAATCCATAGGAAAAGAGAGCTGCCTTCTTCAAAGACAACTTTCTCACTCACAGTTGGGTGATCAATGTCACAGTACAGATCACTTTTAAGGCAAGTCACTATGTATAAATCCATGTTGTTGAGCCACAACCCATGTCCCCCCTTTTTTTTTTAAAAAAAAAGAGATTTGTAGGGGTGAAGGACAGGATATTTCCTAATCCAAAGTACTCCATCCTTCCCCATCCTAAGCACTCTAAAAGCAACTTAGAAAGGGGGAGCTGTCTGGGAAAATTCAGAGCAAGAGCACATGAAGCAGAGGAATATATAAGGCAGGGACCTTATATTTAGAACATCTATGATCTCCTTATCACTTCTCCGCAGCCTCTTCCTTTTTCTTCTTTAAAGTTAAGGAAGTGTCTGGGGAATGGTATAGACTTAAATGTAGAGACGGTGGTTGGGTTCATACAGCAAGCTAACCCCTAAAACCATGTTAACAAAACCCTAAAACCAAGTTAACCCAGTTTTAGAATTGAGATGTTGCAGAAACCCAGCCTCTATCTGTGCACTGTATTATGGCTTAATAGGAAGGCCTGGTTTACACAGAGTTAATGGCTGGGATCCCACTATTCTCTGAACCCCATTTTGGTCTGATTTGGTTTGTGGTTCAAACCCAAGCAATGGGTACTTAGCCACATATCTAAAGGGTACATGGAGGCATACCAGCCCACACACCACACTCTTAATCATTTTGTCAAGCCAGCAGCAGAAAAGAGCATCTTCCTTCCAATTAAGACTTTCTTACTAGACCACAAAGAGCTTATCTACCCATCTTCTCTTCCTTGGATACTTTTTAGCATATCTGATTAGGGCTGGCATCAAAGCCAAGCTAGAATATCAGTGTTGCTTCAGCTCGTGCAGTGTTATAGTACCAGAATGCATGAGACAGGTACTCCTCCATCAAAAAAGAAGGAAGAAATTCTTGCTTGTAGTAAAGGATTCATGCATTGGGCAAGGGGTGAGACTAGATGATCTTTAAGATCCCTTCAGTTTGCCTCTTCACCTGAAGGGCCTGAAAAAAAAGGTCTTGGAGAAAACAGCGCAGTCATGTTTCTGCTTTGGACCCCAGACATAACACATTATTTACTGCGGAGACCTCAAATTTTAATTCCATCCACCACTTAGAGCTAAACGTGATTTATCCAGCAAGGTTGGCCTTCATTTACACAACTGTAATAAAGGCAACAGAATATTTTAAAACAGGGTGGAATCATCTGTGAACTTCCAGCTGTCATCTGACTACAAACTCCATCATCCCCTCATTTTCTACTGTTCATACTGACTAGGCTGATCAGAGACCAAAGTTTAAGTCCTCTCTAGGGACATGTTTATCCAGACACACTTTGGGGCATATAATTGGGCTTGTCTATTGACACAAATTGTAATTGGTGGGTTTGGTTTATTTGTTTTTGATTGAATTATATTTAATGGTGATTTTATTTGCCCATTTTCAAGGTTTAATTAGAGTTTTGTTTTTACAATTATGCTGTATCATGGACAGCAGCCTCATGTGCTCCTTTTGTTGGAAACAATGGATACAAATTTAATAAATGGGGAGGGAAACAGCTTTACTATTCTTGCTTTAAAAATGCCCCATGGTATCTGTGACCTTAGTCTAACTTGCAAAAAACTTAACAAAACCTGCTCCAACTCATTCACCTTTCTCTTACGAATTCATGAACCCAATTAGCCTGTGTCGCTTTCTCTTTACAACAACATAAACTTTACAACACACCATCAAACGCCTCATTAAACCAAGTGCCAACTGTGATGGGCTTCAACTGACCTCCTCCTTTCCCTTATCACACTTCCAAGCTTGCAAATGAAAAGATCTTGTACTGGCGTCTCATAACAAAGATATTGCAGAAGGAAGAGGCAGTGCAGCCAATAACCACCTAGCTGTCTACTTGATTTAGAGTACCCACCCTACAAAAAGGCACCAAGGTGCTCCAGTCCACATTTCTCCAGCAGAACATTTACAGCTGATGCAAACCATCTAAAAACCGGAAAAGGGAATTCTTCCAAATTTATCCCATACCCAATTATACGACAGCCAAAATTAATTTTTTGCAAAGCTTTCTACTAAATTTCAAAATGATTCAAATATGAACACAAGGGACAACTTAGGAAGTCAGGAGGTATCTCTTTAGCCTTATTGATTAATTTTAAGGCAACAAGGTTGATTCAGCTGATGCTTTTACAGCCTGTTCTTTTCTGCAGCCTTGGGAAATGTCCCCTTTAATTCTTCCCTCCCTAATACAAAATGTGCTTATTACATGAAAACAAAAGCTTTATTTATCTGTATATAAGATGGCATCTTTTGGAACTGAGCATTTCAGCTGCATAAGCAGCCAGAAGAGAACTATTTACCAGTAGAAGCATGTGTCTTTGGTTTCCAAAGGGGCAAAAGTACAATTCAATCTCTTCAGCATGAGAGGACAGCAGAAAAGAGGATCTGCAGGCAGGCTGTGAGTTGCCAACTCTTGTTTTGCAGCAATAGTGCACTGCTTTTCCAGACCTGATAGAACAGGATTTTTCAAACTTGGCAACTTTAAGATGTGTGGACTTCAACTCTCAGAATGCTGGCTGAGGAATTCTGGGAGTTGAAGTCCATACGCCTTAAAGTTGCCAAGTTTGCAAAACACTGTGATAGAGCTATGTTAGATTATCAAGAGATATGGAAGTCCTAAAATAGCCATTCAGATGCCAAGTGATCAAGGATGTTTTGGAACTGGCATGGCATCCTCTCTCTACCTGTCAGGTGATCCTTGAGGAAGCTGGGCTTATATCTGGCCTCTCATGCTGGAGGCCCACAGGCTCAGGAAAATATGCCTTAGAGTTAAGGAGAGGTTAAAGAGGCAGAAGTAGGGTGCCACCACATCGCCTCCTGACTCAAACAAACACGTAGGTTCTTGAGCCTACTTGAGCCAGAAAAAGGCATGGCTTCTTTAGCGAGTAGCTAGAGATTGGTAGGGAGAATGTGCCCACACTGGATCCAAGCATCCTTGCCTGCTATGGGTCCAAATACCACACCACACTATACAATACCCCACACAAAATGCAACGTACCTGAACCACAGGGTGTCCCCCTGTTGGGGCTTTGACTGCCCCCCGACTCCCTTCTGTCTCGTAATGAGCGCGATGGTGGGGTTTGGGTTGCACCTCAATCTGTAATTCGTAAGAGCCTGAATGGCTGGAAAGGGGCCACTCAAGCGGCGGAAGAGACTGTACAGGAATGCTGGGGAGAAGAAAGTTTGGATCTAAGTTATGAAAGAAAAGCAGCTTAGCTCAGCATGCACATGACAAGGACAGGATGCCCAACAATTATCCTAACAACTGGAAATCATTTTCTTTCTTTTTCAAAATACAAAAGATTTGGGTCAACCACTGACTGGCAAGAGAGAGAGAACAAATAAAAATGCTTTTTCACTTAACTCACATAAATGGGATGAATTCTTTGCCTCAAAATTTACCAATGATCACTAACTGGGATGCCTTTAAATAAAATAAGGACCAGTGGCAATTAATTCAAGGAGGATCAATGACAATGAACAATCAGATTGACCCCAGCCCTGCTGCCTATTCACAAGGCCCCGAAGGACCCAGGAGCATGATGAAGTTGGTGTGGTGGCTGTCCTGATTATTTTGATGAATGGAATTACCTTGGCTGTGGGTTTTATGTACAGTAGTCCCCGGGTTAAGGACGCCCCGGTTACAGACGACCCATAGTTAAGAACAGAGCCTATTGTAGCAAAATTCAAGTTAAATACACAATGAATTGAGTTAAATACACAATGGATGGAATTAATTACACAATACTACTTATACAGTATTATACAATAATACTGTTCCAGCTTACGTACAAATTCAGCTTAAGGACAGATCTTGGGAATGGAACTCATTCTTAAACTGGGGACTATCTGTATTTTATGATGGATTTTGATATGCTTTTAGGTTATTTCCACACTAACAATGTATAGCATCTTCAGTAGCCATCCAATCATCATTGTGTGAAGGCAGGCTGGTAAGGTAGGCAGACTTTTATTATTTCAGCAATGGCTAAGTGATGCTGTAAAGACACTATACAACTCTAGAGTCGAAATGGCCTCACTAATATCATGAAAAGCATACTGACTTCATGCCCTGTATTTCGAAAAAGCGTCATGAAGAATGAGCACTTGCAAAGGCATGGCTAAAGAAAGCCATTGTGGCTCATTTCACAAATTCTCCTACCACCTATGGCCATTCCTCCCTCCCCCCAAAAAAATCAGGCTCAAAAAATAAAAACTGATTGATTTGTCACTCTTACCTATTGTTTCCTGTTAGTACCCCACTTCAATATTTTCCATATCAGGTTGGAGTCATTTGTTGGTTTATTTCCAAGTTTAGGAACAGGGTACAAATAGGCTGTTCTTTACATGCATCCATTTACTTCTGTCTATCATGTAAAGCTCAATTGATCAAGGCACAAAGGACACGCATAATCACCACCACCACCACCACCACCACCACGGTGTGCGATCTCAGGTTTCTCATATTTTGAATGTAATGGAAGGTAGAAAATGGTTAGTTGTTTCCTTGCCAAGAAGGAGGAACAGATTTTGCTGATTTCTACACTGTATTGATTTTGCTCCCCTCCCATATTAAGCGCCTTGATTTGCTGGGGGAACATGCATTTGCTGTTGTCTCAGGCAGAAGAACATCTGGGGCAGCTCAGGAGAAGAAGAGGAAGAGGAGAGTTAAGAAGCAGTCTAAAAAAACCCTCCTGCATCATACACAATCTATCTCACAGATATACATACCTGGAATAAGGGCCAAATTCTATAAATATTTGTCAAAATGCAAGACGTGCTACTTACCTGCAGATGGGTATCGCAGGCATCAGCTGCTTTGGCCAAGATGGTGGCACTAAAAGGATTGAATCTGGTGGTGGGTTCCTTCGGTTGTCCTGCTCACAGGACCCAATGTATTCAATGGGTTGAAGCACATGACATGGCATACTGGCTTTGTGGGAAGCCATCGGCGAAGGATCTGGGGTGGTCCTCCATATTTTTGTGGGAACTCCACAGGAAGGATCAGTGGTGAGATTGTTCATTGCATCCATGAGACTAGAGGAGGTGGACAACTGGGTGTAAGTGACTGTTGCTCCGTCTTCTCTCAAGGAGACGTGGGGAGAGGCCTGTGGAGAAGGGGTCCTCGACTGCCGTGGAGAAGTGTTCGGGTGCTGACTCCCGTAGAGCTCAGTGCAAGAGTACCTCCGTTTTGCACCTGGCGATGACGACCTTGAGTTGGGACGTGGTGATGGTGAACGTGGCCCCAAGCAGGTATCCTCCACGACAGTTGCTTGTGGGGACATTATTGGCGAGGTTCTAGGGGAATAATGAGCATGGGTGTTTTGAAACTGTGGACAAAGGTCATCACTAGGGCCATTATTTGGTGAAACGCATGGTGAAGTATAAGGAGAGAAATTTGTCTCTGAAATGAAGCTTGCAGAGGAGCCACTGCTAGGAGGGCTCAGGCACAGCGGTTCTCGGTAGCTCTCAAAGCCAGGGACTGGCAGGGTAAACCTTGGGCTAGCAGTAGCTGAGCTGGACTGATGCTCTACCAATAGATCTGTGTCTCTGCTGCTGAAGGGGCCCCCCGAGTGAATCAGTTCATAAGATGGTGTTATCTCAATCCTAGGGCTCAAAGTAGGGGGACCTGCAGCCTTGACAGGGTCCAAGTAGCATTTTGACCCTATGCTATCTGGCTGTCCATATCTGCCCATGTGATCTGCCGAAAGGCTAGACAAAGCGAAGGGGTATGGCTTGAGGCCATAATCCGAGACATCATCATGAGGGTAAGTAACTCCAGTGGGTGGGCTGATGATTTTATGTGAAGGAGTCGGTTCTTCTGGAAAAAGAAGGGTCGCTTTTAAGACTAGACATACCACTGCAGAAGCTGAGTAATCCTGGGTTAACAAGAAGGCATTAGCGATAGTGCTTTAGGCAAAGGTTGCATTATACACAGACATCAATTGCATGCATAAGGCAGTAGGTCAGCCATCTCAGAGTGGAAACCCACTGGGCACTCTCTGAGTAAAAGCAGGAGAATGAAAAGAACTCTACCACCACTGCACTCAAATTATTGCGCTGCCTTCAAAATATTTCATCCACCCAATCCAGCATTTCATCATCAGCTGCCTTCTGATTATGTTTTTGCTATGACTACTGGCAGCGGCGTACCTAGTGTACTTGACACTTGGTGTGGATCAGCAGTTGAGCAGCAGCTGCAGGATTATGGCTGGCCCAACCACACCACTGTCAGCCTACCCTGCTCTACCTTTGTCACTGCATCATGCCACCGACTGCCAAGTAGCTGACTGGCGCACTGGCAGCAGCGGCCCAACTCCACACTCACTGCTGACCCTCCAGATAGACTTCTCAGACAATGCACCCCTTACTGCCTGCACCCAGGACAGCCTGCTTCTACCACCCCACTCTTGGTATGCCACTCACCACTGGTCGTTTGGGTGCCAGTGTTCAATCTCCAGCCCATCGGTGATCATGTTTTCTATCTCTGGCTCATCTCATCTGATCTTTGTCTACCTGGGCACGATCAGATCCTAGTTGCAATCCTCCAAGAATGTTAGAAGCCAATTTGGATACATCCCAAGGTTGAAATGTCCCTACTACTTAATTTCTAAAAGAAAGAAAATGATACACCTATGGACAAACATACATGCTTACTTCATAATTTTCAAGCATTTCTAGCATTCTGGTTGTTGAACTGCATTAGACAATCAGTAGGCCAACACTATAAACAGTAGACCAACACTCAATCTGGACTGAAGGATAACTATTTTCCCTGTTGCCAAGAAGATAATTCCTTTCCCTTAATTATCCTTGATTCATGTATTATGGATGACCAAATCCAAATATATTAGATTGTAATCTAATATACATTATACGTATATTCGTTATAAAATATGCATGTTATATACATAGGTCTCAGCAACTGGCAGAACTACCTGGTTGACCTTGTCTGAACTCAAGACTAAGCAGATCAGCCCTAGTTGGTAGTTGGATAGGAGAATTTCACAAAATCCCAAGGTCTGTAGGTGGGAAGTTGGAAAAACAACCCAGAGGAAGAAATGTCAAAGCACTTCTGTGCTACTTCCAAGAGGACTGCATGGTTGTGTCTATGTAATCATAATCAGCCAAATTTAACTTAAAAGGAGACTTCACCTTTTATAGTATTATACTGTATATGCATTTCACAGAGAGAGAGAGAGAAAGAGGGAGAGATGCAACCCTGCCTGGATAACCTGTTGTCACAGAACACTTTCTTTTTAATATAGATCTATATAGCTATGAAAACTTGGTAGTGAGGGAAACATAAATTTTGCGCAGGCTCAGGTAGAGCATTCTACAACTAGTGGATATTAGCTGTGCATCCCAACTGACTGAAGGGAGAGGTGTGATTCAGAGTTTTCATGGTCACAAAGGTGGCGCCTGTTGGAAACACCTTAAGAGCAGCTTTTCCTGGGAACACATAGCTGCCCTCCAAAGCTGCCCCTTGTTCCTGAGCAAAGACACATTTAGTTTAAGGTGTTTACAACAATTGCTACATGTACATGATTTCTAAATGCCAAACAAGTAGGGCCAAACTCAACTCTCAAGGTAGTACTTTCCATCACATGGAAAGGATCCATCACTGAATGTCATATAGAAGAGCCAAGCCACCAAGGATATCTTCAGGAGGCTTGTCCTTCCAATCTTAACAACTGGACAGATCATAACATGAAAGGCATTCCCTTAGCTACTTGCCAGTCTTTACTAACTATATCCTTAATATTACTTATTTAATAATGTAATTGCATACATATATACCCATCACAGTACAGTATTCCCTTTTAGATTAAGCAATGTTTGGCAGACTGCAGAAAAGGAATAAGGGAGCAGCTAAATCTAGTTTACCCCTAACACCAGTCACCGTTCCTCTCCGCATCTTTCTATTCTTGCCAATCATCCTTGCTTCCCCCATATCCATAAATAGTGCCTTGTTCTTTACATTTCTTACCTGTCTTTTTCAGTCAATCTCTTTTTGGTCCAGTTCAGAGTCATTCAGCACTCATTCATTCTTGACCTTGTCTCGTTTTACCATGTACACTTAAGTTCCCACTACATTCAGTTTACTATGCTTCTCCTGACATTCTAAGCTCTTACTTCCATATAAGAAAGTGAGCAGACACACACTCTTATACACAGTCATTTTTGCTTCTTCTGACAAGCATTAATTTATTGTAATAGTCCACACACTACCCTTCTACTAGTATTTGCACACCTTAAAATTTCTCCATCCATTTTCAGTAATCATTTTACCAAGGTACTGAAATTCATCTACTTGCTCTTAGCCCAACCTACCCTACAAGGTTGTAGTTGTGGTGAAAAAATTAAGAGGAGGGAGATGCCACCTTGAACTCCCAAAGGAAAGACAGTATATAAAGCTAATTAATAAATAAAATGAATAAAAATCTCAAATAGGTTTACATCAAGACTTTTCTTTCAATGTAGTTACTATTTTTAAGAGTATTCCCTAATAAAGGAGTATTATTCAAAAGAACACAAGAATAAAACACTGTAATTTAGTAACTCCTTTGTTTTCTTTGTTAAACTTTACAGCTGCCTCAATCCCTAAGGATTTTTCAACTTAATTACTGTTCTACTATGGATACTGATTTTTTTTTTTTTTTTGCAGACCAATATGGCTAATTTGGTTTTTGCCCATTTAAAAAGCACATTCTATGATCAGAATGCCCCTTCAAAGATGGCCCTTTTGTAACATAAAATTATATCACCTATATTGTCTGTTGTTTTTCTGTTGCGTCTTTAAAAATATTTTTATTAGAACTGAAGATTTTTAAAACAGAGAATCTATAAAAACCATGGCTTCATCTTGCACAAACCAAAGGAACATATGTAGTACTTACTACTGAAAAATGAAAAATCTAGGAAAACTATTTTTCATGCAAAATGTACTCTTTTAAAAATTATGGCAACATATGCCTTTAAATATTTGAAATACTCAGCTGAACAAAACCCTTGGCAGTTATATAGCAGTCAAAAAAGAGAATGGGTATATATCAATAAAACTCACACTTTGCACAGTTCCATATATAAATTTAAACAATGCTTGGTTTTGTTCCATTGGACAGCAGTGGGAGAATTTATTTAACCAGTCACTGATAATATATGGCATCCATGGAACTCTTAAAATCTCACCCAAAACCTAGATCTTAGATATGTTTCCAATTATATTCTTCATATGACAGCAGTAAAAGAGTCTAATGTGGTATCAGAAAGCTGATGAAATGTCATTATGACCTTCTCAAGACATTATGAAATACTACTTTCAAATTATAGCAAGGATGTTGATTACCTAAACCTCTAAGCATTTTTCATCACTGGCCACGAGGGCTGGAGCTCCTAGGAGATCTACAGGTTTTCCATCCTAGCTCTCTGGAATATAGATAGAACCAAATTAAGGGGCACTGGCTGACTTCATCCATCACACTAAGATATAAGGTTGCTTTTTCAGGCCTTAGATTGTCCTATGATCCCAGCCACTGTGGTCTATTCAATGAACTGTGGTTAAAACAAAGCATGACTTAACATGATAGCTATATTAAGATATATACCATTAGGTCTCACTGATCTACCTACCCAGCATGTTGTACTTTTCTACTAGTCTCTTCAGCATTAGTATTCCCTAATTTAACAGCAATTGATCATCTTTACTGTAAACTGTGTTCATAAAAGGTTTATGTGCTTTTTGGAATCCACATGTATTCGTCTATGGTATATTTGCCATTGATAGTTTATTTTTACAGCCCTTTTTGTTTCTGAAACAAGAGAAATGTTGTTTTACTTATGCTACAAAGAAGCATGGAGATCTCTTTATTTCCAGATTTAAAGCATTGCAGAATAGTTAAGTGCACCCTTGGATGTATGCAACTTCTCTGTAGCAGTGCCTGCCCTCTGGGATGAGGTTCCCCCTGAGATCCAGATGTCCCCACTCTACTGTTGTTTAGAAGAGCTGTGAAAACCTGGTTCTTCACCCAGGCCTTTGGCAAGGGAGAGCAAGACACCATGCCCTCTTTTACCTTTACCTTTTATGTTTTGTTGATTTTATTGTAATTTCTTTGACTGTTATAAGCCACCTAGGGTCATTGAAAGTCAGGTGGCATACAATAAATTATTATTGTTGTTGTTGTTGTTGTTGTTGTTGTTGTTATTATTATTATTATTATTATTAATATTTCTTCTTCTTCTCTGGCATGTCCAGTAATAAATAGGAAAACTACCCATTTATCTCAGGACCAAGAAATACATG